CCGGGTTATGGAAAGAGGGAGAATGGGGTGGGGTGATAGAAAGCGGGAGAATGGGGCAAGGTGATGGAAAGAGGGAGAATGGGGAGGGGTGATGAAAAGAGGGAGAATTGGGCGGGGTGATGAAAAGCGGGAGAATGGAGCGGGGTGATGGAAAGCCGGAGAATGGGGCAGGGTCATGGAAAGCGGGAGAATGGGGCGGGGGAATGGAAAGAGGGAGAATGGGGCGGGGTGATGGAAAGCGGGAGAATGGGACGGGGTGATGGAAAGCGTGAGAATTGGGCGGGCTGATGGAAAGAGGGAGAATGGGGTGGGGTGATGGAAAGAGGGAGATTAGGGCGGGGTGATGGAAAGAGGGAGAATGGGGCGGGTTGATGGAAAGCGGGAGAATGGGGCGGGGTGATGGAAAGCGGGAGAATGGGTCGGGGTGATGGAAAGAGGGAGATTAGGGCGGGGTGATGGAAAGAGGGAGAATGGGGCGGGTTGATGGAAAGCGGGAGAATGGGGCGGGGTGATGGAAAGCGCGAGAATGGGGCGGGGTGATGGAAAGCGGGAGAATGGGGCGGGGTGATTGAAAGCGGGAGAATGGGGTGGGGTGATGGAAAGAGGGAGAATGGGGCAGGGTGATGGAAAGAGGGAGAATGGGGCGGGGTGATGGAAAGAGGACAATGGGGCGAGGTGATGGAAAGCGGGAGAATGGGGCAGGGTGATGGAAAGCGGGAGAATGGGGCGGGGTGATGGAAAGAGGGAGAATGGCTTGGGGTGATGGAAAGCGGGAGAATGGGGCAGGGTGATGGAAAGCGGGAGAATGGGGCGGGGTGATGGAAAGCGGGAGAATGGGGCGGGGTGATGGAAAGCGGGAGAATGGGGCGGGGTGATGGAAAGCGGGAGAATGGGGCGGGGTGATGGAAAGCGGGAATGGGGCGGGGTGATGGAAAGCGGGAGAATGGGGCGGGGTGATGGATAGCGGGAGAATGGGGCGGGGTGATGGAAAGCGGGAGAATGGGGCGGGGTGATAGATATTGGGAGAATAGGGCGGGGTGATGGAGAACGGGAGAATGGGGCAGGCTGATGGAAAGAGGGGGAATGGGGCGGGGTGATGGAAAGAGGGAGTATGGGGTGGGGTGATGAAAAGCGGAAGAATGGGGCGGGGCGATGGAAAGAGGGAGAATGGGGTGGGGTGATGGAAGGAGGGAGAATGGGGAGGGGTGATGGAAAGCGGGGGAATGGGGCGGGATGATGGGAAGCGGAAGAATGGGGCGGGGTGATGGAAAGCGGGAGAATGGGGCGGGGTGATGGGAAGCGGGAGAATGGGGCGGGGAGATGGAAAGCGGGAGAAAGGGGAGGGGTGATGGAAAGCGGGAGAATGGGGCAGGCTGATGGAAAGCGGGAGAATGGGGCGGGGTGATGGAAGGAGGGAGAATGGGGCGGGGTGATGGAAGGAGAGAGAAGGGGGCGGGGTGATGGAAAGTGGGAGAATGTGGCGGGGTGATGGAAAGCGGGAGAATGGGGCGGGGTGATGGAAAGCGGGAGAATGGGGTGGGGTGATGGAAATCAGGAGAATGGGGCGGGGTGATGGAAAGCGGGAGAATGGGGCGGGGTGATGGAAGGAGGGAGAATGGGGCGGGGTGATGGAAAGCGGGAGAATGGGGCGGGGTGATGGAAGGAGGGAGAATGGGGCGGGGTGATGGAAAGCGGGAGAATGGGGCGGGGTGATGGAAAGCGGGAGAATTGGGCGGGGTGATGGAAAGCGGGAGAATGGGGCTGGGTGATGGAAAGCGGGAGAATGGGGCGGGGTGATGGAAAGCGGGAGGATGGGGCGGGGTGATGGATAGAGGGAGAATGGGGTGGGGTGATGGAAAGCGGGAGATTGGGGCAGGAAGATGGAAAGCGGGAGAATGGGGCGGGGTGATGGAAAGCGGGAAAATTGGGCAGGGTGATGGAAAGCGGGAGAACGGGGCTGGGTGATGGAAATCAGGAGAATGGGGCGGGGTGGTGGAAAGCGGGTGAATAGGGCGGGATGATGGAAAGCGGGAGAATGGGGCGGGTAATGGGAAGAGGGAGAATGGGGCGGGGTGATGGAAAGCGGGAGAATGGGGCAGGGGGATGGAAAGCGGGAGAATGGGGCCGGGTGATAGAAAGCGGGAGAATGGGGCGGGGTGATGGAAATCGAGAGAATTGGGCGAAGTGATGGAAAGCGGGAGAATGGGGCGGGGTGATGGAAAGCGGGAGAATGGAGTGGGGTGGTGGAAAGCAGGAGAATGGGTCGGGGTGGTGGAAAGCGGGAGATTGGTGCGGGGTGGTGGAAAGCGGGAGAATGGGGCAGGGTGATGGAAAGCGGGAGAATGGGGTGGGGTGATGGAAAGAGGGAGAATGGGGCGGGGTGATGGAAAGCGGGAGAATGGGGCGGGGTGATGGAAAGCGGGAGAATGGGGCAGGGTGTTGGAAAGCAGGAGAATGGGGCGGGGTGTTGGAAATCGGGAGAATGGGGCAGGGTGATGGAAAGCGGGAGAATAAGGCGGGCTCATGGAAAGCGAGAGAATGGGGCGGGGTGATGGAAAACGGGAGAATGGGATGGGGTGACCGAAAGTGGGAGAATTGGGCGGGGTGATGGATAGAGGGAGAATGGGGCGGGGTGATGGAAAGCGGGAGAATGGGGCGGGGTGATGGAAAGAGGGAGAATGGGGTGGGGTGATGGAAAGCGTGAGAATGGGGAGGGGTGATAGAAAGAGGGAGAATGGGGCGGGGTGATGGAAGGCGGGAGAATGGGGCGGGGTGATGGAAAGCGGGAGAATTGGGCGGGGTGATGGAAAGCGGGAGAATGGGGCGGGGTGATGGAAAGCGGGAGAATGGGGCGGGGTGATGGAAATCGGGAAAATGGGGCGGGTGATGGAAAGCGGGAGAATGGGGCGGGGTGATGGAAAGAGGGAGAATGGGGCGGGGTGATGGAAAGAGGGAAAATTGGGCGGGATGATGGAAAGCGGGAGAATGGAGCGGGGTGATGGAAATCGGGAGAATGGGGCGGAGTGATGGAAAGCGGGAGAGGGGCGGGGTGATGGAAATCGGGAGAATGGGGCGGGATGATGGAAAGCGGGAGAATGGGGCGGGTAATGGGAAGAGGGAGAATGGGGCGGGGTGATGGAAAGTGGGAGAATGGGGCGGGGTGATGGAAAGCGGGAGAATGGGGCCGGGTGATAGAAAGCGGGAGAATGGGGCGGGGTGATGGAAATCGAGAGAATTGGGCGAAGTGATGGAAAGCGGGAGAATGGGGCGGGGTGATGGAAAGCGGGAGAATGGGGCGGGGTGGTGGAAAGCGGGAGAATGGGGCGGGGTGGTGGAAAGCGGGAGAATGGGGCGGAGTGATGGAAAGCGGGAGAATGGGGCGGGGTGATGGAAAGAGGGAGAATGGGGCGGGGTGATGGAAAGAGGGAGAATGGGGCGGGGTGATGGAAAGCGGGAGAATGGGGCGGGTTGATGGAAGGCGGGAGAATGGGGCGGGGTGATGGAAAGCGGGAGAATGGGGCGGGGTGATGGAAAGCGGGAGAATGGGGCGGGGTGATGGAAAGCGGAAGAATGGGGCGGGGTTATGGAAGGAGGGAGAATGGGGCGGGGTGATGGAAGGAGGGAGAATGGGGCGGGGTGATGGAAAGCAGGTGAATGGGGCGGGGTGATGGAAAGCGTGAGAATAGGGCGGTGTGATGGAAAGCGGGAGAACGGGGCGGGGTGATGGAAGGAGGGAGAATGGGGAGGGGTGATGGAAAGCGGGAGAATGGGACGGGGTGATGGAAAGCGGGAGAATGGGGCGGGGTGATGGAAAGCGGGAGAATGGGGCGGGGTGATGGAAAGCGGGAGAATGGGGCGGGGTGAAGAAAAGCGGGAGAATGGGGCGGGTTGATGGAATGAGGGAGAATGGGGCGGGGTGATGGAAAGCGGGAGAATGGGGCGGGGTGATGGAAAGAGGGAGAATGGGGCGGGGTGATGGAAGGCGGGAGAATGGGGCGGGGTGATGCAAATCGAGAGAATGGGGTGGGGTGATGGAAAGCGGGAGAATGGGGTGGGGTGATGGAAAGCGGGAGAACGGGGCGGGGTGATGGAAGGTGGGAGAATGGGGCGGGGTGATGAAAAGCGGGAGAATGGGGCGGGGTGATGGAAAGCGGGAGAATGGGGCGGGGTGATGGAAAGCGGAAGAATGGGGCGGGGTTATGGAAGGAGGGAGAATGGGGCGGGGTGATGGAAGGAGGGAGAATGGGGCGGGGTGATGGAAAGCAGGTGAATGGGGCGGGGTGATGGAAAGCGTGAGAATAGGGCGGTGTGATGGAAAGCGGGAGAACGGGGCGGGGTGATGGAAGGAGGGAGAATGGGGAGGAGTGATGGAAAGCGGGAGAATGGGACGGGGTGATGGAAAGCGGGAGATTTGGGCGGGGTGATGGAAAGCGGGAGAATGGGGCGGGGTGATGGAAAGCGGGAGAATGGGGCGGGGTGAAGAAAAGCGGGAGAATGGGGCGGGTTGATGGAAAGAGGGAGAATGGGGCGGGGTGAATGGGGCGGGGTGATGGAAAGCGGAAGAATGGGGCGGGGTGATGGAAAGCGGGAGAATGGGGCGGGGTGATGGAAAGCGGGAGAATGGGGCGGGGTGATGGAAAGCGGGATAATGGGGCGGGGTGATGGAAAGCGGGAGAATGGGGCGGGGTGATGGAAAGCGGGAGAATTGGGCGGGTTGATGGAAAGCGGGAGAATGGGGCGGGGTGATGGAAAGCTGGAGAATGGGGCGGGGTGATGGAAAGCGGGAGAATGGGGCGGGGTGATGGAAAGCGGGAGAATGGGGCGGGGTGATGGAAAGCGGGAGAATGGGGCGGGGTGATGGAAAGAGAGAGAATGGGGCGGGGTGATGGAAAGAGGGAGAATGGGGCGGGGTGATGGAAAGCGGGAGAATGGGGCGGGGTGATGGAAATAGGGAGAATAGGGTGGGGTGATGGAAAGAGGGAGAATGGGGCGGGGTGATGGAAAGAGGGAGAATGGGGCGGGGTGATGAAAAGAGGGAGAATGGGGCAGGGTGGTGGAAAGCGGGAGAATAGGGCGGGGTGATGGAAAGCGGGAGAATGGGGCGGGGTGATGGAAAGCGGGAGAATGGGGCAAGGTGATGGAACGCGGGAGAAAGGGGTGGGGTGATGGAAAGCGGGAGAGTGGGGCGGGGTGATGGAAAGAGGGAGAATAGGGTGGGGTGATGGAAAGAGGGAGAATGGGGCAGGGTGATGGAAAGAGGGAGAATGGGGCAGGGTGATGCAAAGCGGGAGAATGGGATGGGGTGATGGAAAGCGAGAGAATGGGGCTGGGTGATGGAAAGCGGGAGAATGGGGCGGGGTGATGGAAAGCATGAGAATGGGGCGGCGTGATGGAAAGCGGGAGAGTGGGGCGGGGTGATGGAAAGAGGAAGAATATGGCGGGGTGATGGAAAGCGGGAGAATGGGGCAGGGTGATGGAAGGAGGGAGAATGGGGCGGGGTGATGGAAAGCAGGTGAATGGGGCGGGGTGATGGAAAGCGTGAGAATAGGGCGGTGTGATGGAAAGCGGGAGAACGGGGCGGGGTGATGGAAGGAGGGAGAATGGGGAGGAGTGATGGAAAGCGGGAGAATGGGACGGGGTGATGGAAAGCGGGAGAATGGGGCGGGGTGATGGAAAGCGGGAGAATGGGGCGGGGTGATGGAAAGCGGGAGAATGGGGCGGGGTGAAGAAAAGCGGGAGAATGGGGCGGGTTGATGGAAAGAGGGAGAATGGGGCGGGGTGAATGGGGCGGGGTGATGGAAAGCGGAAGAATGGGGCGGGGTGATGGAAAGCGGGAGAATGGGGCGGGGTGATGGAAAGCGGGAGAATGGGGCGGGGTGATGGAAAGCGGGATAATGGGGCGGGGTGATGGAAAGCGGGAGAATGGGGCGGGGTGATGGAAAGCGGGAGAATTGGGCGGGTTGATGGAAAGCGGGAGAATGGGGCGGGGTGATGGAAAGCTGGAGAATGGGGCGGGGTGATGGAAAGCGGGAGAATGGGGCGGGGTGATGGAAAGCGGGAGAATGGGGCGGGGTGATGGAAAGCGGGAGAATGGGGCGGGGTGATGGAAAGAGAGAGAATGGGGCGGGGTGATGGAAAGAGGGAGAATGGGGCGGGGTGATGGAAAGCGGGAGAATGGGGCGGGGTGATGGAAATAGGGAGAATAGGGTGGGGTGATGGAAAGAGGGAGAATGGGGCGGGGTGATGGAAAGAGGGAGAATGGGGCCGGGTGATGAAAAGAGGGAGAATGGGGCAGGGTGGTGGAAAGCGGGAGAATAGGGCGGGGTGATGGAAAGCGGGAGAATGGGGCGGGGTGATGGAAAGCGGGAGAATGGGGCAAGGTGATGGAACGCGGGAGAAAGGGGTGGGGTGATGGAAAGCGGGAGAGTGGGGCGGGGTGATGGAAAGAGGGAGAATAGGGTGGGGTGATGGAAAGAGGGAGAATGGGGCAGGGTGATGGAAAGAGGGAGAATGGGGCAGGGTGATGCAAAGCGGGAGAATGGGGCGGGGTGATGGAAAGCGAGAGAATGGGGCGGGGTGATGGAAAGCGGGAGAATGGGGCGGGGTGATGGAAAGCATGAGAATGGGGCGGCGTGATGGAAAGCGGGAGAGTGGGGCGGGGTGATGGAAAGAGGAAGAATATGGCGGGGTGATGGAAAGCGGGAGAATGGGGCGGGGTGATGGAAAGCGGGAGAATGGGGCAGGGTGATGGAAAGCGGGAGAGATTGCCTGGTCCAAGAGATTGCGTGGTCCGGGAGCTTGCCCGGTCTAGGAGCTTGCCTGGTCCAGAAGATTGCCTGGTCTAGGAGCTTGCCTGGTCCAAGAGCTTGCCTGATCCATGAGCTTGCCTGGTCCAGGAGCTTGCCTCGTCTAGGAGCTTGCCTGGTCCAGGAGCTTGCCTGGTCCAGGAGCGTGTCTGGTCCACGAGTTTGCCTCGTCCAAAAGCTTGCGCGGTCCAGGAGCTTGCCTGGTCTAGGAGCTTGCATGGTCCAGGAGCGTGCCTGCTCCAGGAGCTTGTCTGGTACAGGAGCTATCCTGGTCCAGGAGCTTGCCTGGTCCAGGAGCTTGCCTGTTCCACGAGCATGCCTGGTTCAGGAGATTGCCTTGTCCAGGAGCTTTATTGGTCCGTTAGCTGGCCTCGACCAGGAGCTTGCCTGGTCCAAGAGCTTTCCTGGTCCAAGAGCTTGCCTGCTCCAGGAGCTTGCTTGGTCTAGGAGCTTGCCTGGTCCAGGAGCGTGCCTGATCCACGAGCTTGCCTGGTCCAAGAGCTTGCCTGGACCAGGAGTGTGCCTGGTCCACGAGCGAGCCTGGTCCAGGAGCTTGCCTGGTCCCGGGGCTTGCGTGGTCCAGGAGCTTGCCTGGTCCACGAGCCTGCCGGGTCCAAGAGCTTGCCTAGTCCAGGAGCGTGCATGGTCTACGAGCGTGCCTGGTCCAGGAGCTTGCCTAGTCAAGAGCTTGCCTGGTGAAGGAGCTTGCATGGTTCGGGAGCTTGCCTAGTCCACCAGCTTGCCTGGTCCACTAGCCTGCCTGGTCCAAGAGCTTCCCTGGTCCAAGAGCGTGCATGGTCCACGAGTGTGCCAGGTCCAGGAGCTTGCCTGGTCCAGGAGCTTGCCTGGTCCAAAAGCTTGCTTGGTCCAGAAGCCTTCCCCGTCCAAGAGCTTGCCTAGTCCATGAGCTTGCCTGGTCCAAGAGCTTGCGTGGTCTAGGAGCTTGCGTGGTCCAGGAGCTTGCCTGGTCCACGAGCTTGCCTGGTCCAGGAGCTTGCCTGGTCCACGAGCTTGCCTGGTCCAAGAGCTTGCCTGGTCCAGGAGCTTGCCTGGTCCATGAGCTTGCCTGTTCCACGAGCGTGCCTGGTCCACGAGCTTGCCTTGTCCAGGAGCTTTCTTGGTCCAAGAGCTTGCCTGGTCCAGGAGCTTGCCTGGTCCAAGAGCTTGCCTGGTCCAGGAGCTTGCCTGGTCCAGGAGCTTGCCTGGTCCAGGAGCTTGCTTGGTACAAGAGCATGCTTGGTCGAGGAGCTTGCCTGGTCCACAAGCTTGCCTGGTCCAGGAGCGTGTCGATCCACGAGCTTGCCTGGTCCAAAAGCTTGCTTGGTCCAGAAGCCTGCCCGGTCCAAGAGCTTGCCTGGTCCAGGAGCGTGCCTGGTCCAAGAGCTTGCGTGGTCTAGGAGCTTGCGTGGTCCAGGAGCTTGCCTGGTCTAGGAGCTTGCCTGGTCTAGGAGCTTGCCTGGTCTAGCAGCTATCCTGGTCCAGGAGCTTGCCTGGTCCAGGAGCTTGCCTGTTCCACGAGCGTGCGTGGTCCAGGAGCTTGCCTTGTCCAGGAGCTTTCTTGGTCCAAGAGCTTGCCTAGTCCAGGAGCTTGCTTGGTCCAGGAGCTTGCCTGGTCCAAGAGCTTGCCTGGTCTAGGAGCTTGCCTGGTCCAGGAGCTTGCCTGGTCCAGGAGCTTGCCTGGTCAAAGAGCTTGCCTGGTCGAGGAGCTTGCCAGGTCCACGAGCTTGCCTGGTCCAGGAGCGTGCCTGATCCACGAGCTTGCCTTGTCCAAGAGCGTGCCTGGTCCATGAGCGTGCCTGGTCTACGAGCGAGCCTAGTCCAGGAGCTTGCCTGATCCAGGAGCTTGCCTGGTCAAGGAGCTTGTGTTGTCCAGGAGCTTGCCTTGTCCACGAGCCTGCCTGGTCCAAGAGCTTGCCTGGTCAAGGAGTGTGCATGGTCCACGAGCGTGCCTGGTCCAGGAGGTTGCCTGGTCCAGGAGCTTGCCTGGTCCACGAGCCTGCTTGGTCCAAGAGCTTGCCTGGTTCAGGAGCGTGCATGGTCTACGAGCGTGCCTGGTCTTGGAGCTTGCCTGGTCTAGGACCCTGCCTGGTCCAAGAGCTTGCCTGGTCCAGGAGCGTGCCTGGTCCGAGAGCTTGCGTAGTCCAGGAGCTTGCATGGTCCAAGAGCTTGCCTGGTCCAGGAGCTTGCCTGGTCCAGGAGCTTGCCTCGTCCAAGAGCTTGCCTGGTCCAAGAGCTTGCGAGGTCCAGGAGCTTGCCTGGTCCAGGAGCTTGCCTGGTCTAGGAGCTTGCCTGGTCCAGGAGCTTCCTTGGTCGAGGAGCATGCCTGGTCCACGAGTTTGCCTGGTCCAGAAACTTGCCTGGTCCAGGAGCTTGCCTGGTCTAGAAGCTTGCATGGTCCACGAGCGTGCCTGGTCTAGGAGCTTGCCTGGTCGAGGAGCTATCCTGGTCCAGGAGCTTGCCTTGTCCAGGAGCTTGCCTGGTCCAGGAGCTTGCCTTTTCCACGAGCGTCCCTGGTCCAGGAGCTTGCCTTGTCCAGGAGCTTTCTTGGTCCGTGAGCTTGCCTGGTCCAGGAGCTTGCCTGGTCCAGGAGCTTGCGTGGTCCAAGAGCTTGCCTGGTCCAGGAGCTTGCCTGGTCCAAGGGCTTGCCTGGTCCAAGAGCTTGCGTGGTCTAGGAGCTTGCATGGTCCAAGAGCTTGCCTGGTCTAGAAGCTTGCCTGGTCCAGGAGCTTGCCTGGTCTAGGAGCTTGCCTGGTCCAAGAGCTTGGGTGGTCCAGGAGCTTGCCTGGTCTAGGATCTTGCTTGGTCCAGGAGCTTGCCTGGTCCTACAGCGTGCCTGGTCCACGAGTTTGCCTGGTCCAGAAGCTTGCCTGGTCTAGGAGCTTGCATGGTCCAGGAGCGTGCATGGTCCAGGAGCTTGCCTGCTCCAAGAGCAATCCTCGTCCAGGAGCTTGCCTGGTCCTGGAGCTTGCCTGGTCCAGGAGCTTGCCTGTTCGAGGGGCGTGCCTGGTCCAAGAGCTTGCCTGGTCCATGAACTTGCCTGGTCAAGGAGCTTGTGTGGTCCAGGAGCTTGCCTGGTCCTAGAGCGTGCCTGGTCCACGAGTTTGCCTGGTCCAGAAGCTTGCCTGGTCTAGGAGCCTGCATGGTCCAGGAGCGTGCGTGGTCCAGGAGCTTGCCTGGTCCAAGAGCTATCCTGGTCCAGGAGCTTGCCTGGTCCTGGAGCTTGCCTGGTCTAGGAGCTTGCATGGTCCAGGAGCGTGCCTGGTCCAGGAGCTTGCCTGGTCCAAGAGCTATCCTGGTCCAGGAGCTTGCCTAGTCCTGGAGCTTGCCTGGTCTAAGAGCTTGCATGGTCCAGGAGCGTGCCTGGTCCAAGAGCTTGCCTGGTCCAGGAGCTATCGTGGTCCAGGAGCTTGCCTGGTCCAGGAGATTTCCTTGTCCAAGAGCTTGCCTGTTCCAGGAGCGTGCCTGGTCCAAGAGCTTGCCTAGTCCAAGAGCGTGCATGGTCCACGAGCGTGCCTGGTCTAGGAGCTTGCCTGGTCCAGGAGCTTGCCTGGTCAAGGAGCTTGCCTGGTCTAGGAGCTTGCGTGGTCCAGGAGCTTGCCTGGTTCAGGAGCTTGCCTGGTCTAGGAGCTTGCCTGGTCCAAAAGCTTGCCTGGTCCAGGAGCGTGCCTGGTCAACGAGTTTGCCTGGTCCAGAAGCTTGCCTGGTCCAGGAGCTTGCTTGGTCTAGGAGCTTGCATGGTCCAGGAGCGTGCCTGGTCCAGGAGCTTGCCTGGTCCGGGAGCTATCCTGGTCCAGGAGCTTGCCTGGTCCAGGAGCTTGCTTGTTCCAGGAGCGTGCCTGGTCCAAGAGCTTTCCTGGTCCAAGAGCGTGCATGGTCCACGAGCGTGCCTGGTCCACGAGCTTGCCTTGTCCAGGAGCTTTCTTGGTCCAAGAGCTTGCCTGGTCCAGGAGCTTGCCTGGTCCAGGAGCTTGCCTGGTCTAGGAGCTTGCCTGGTCCAGGAGCTATCTTGGTCCAGGAGCTTGCCTAATCAAGGAGCTTGCCTGGTCCAAGAGCGTGCATGGTCCACGAGCGTGCCTGGTCCACGAGCTTGCCTTGTCCAGGAGCTTTCTTGGTCCAAGAGCTTGCCTGGTCCAGGAGCTTGCCTGGTCCAGGAGCTTGCCTGGTCCAGGAGCTTGCCTGGTCCAGGAGCTATCTTGGTCCAGGAGCTTGCCTAATCAAGGAGCTTGCCTGGTCCAAGAGCGTGCATGGTCCACGAGCGTGCCTGGTCCAGGAGCTTGCCTTGTCCAGGAGCTTTCTTGGTCCAAGAGCTTGCCTGGTCCAGGAGCTAGCCTGGTCCAGGAGCTTGCCTGGTACAGGAGCTTGCCTGGTCCAGGAGCTATCTTGGTCCAGGAGCTTGCCTAATCAAGGAGCTTGCCTGGTCCAGGAGCTTGCCTAGTCCTGGAGCTTGCCTGGTCCACGAGCCTGCCTGGTCCAAGAGCTTGCCTGGTCCAGGAGTGTGCATGGTCCACGAACGTGCCTAGTCTAGGAGTTTGCCTGGTCCAGAAGCTTGCGTGGTCCAATAGCTTGCTTGGTCTAGAAGCCTGCCTGGTCCAAGAGCTTGCCTGGTCCAGGAGCGTGCCTGGTCCAAGAGCTTGCGTTATCCAGGACCTTGTGTGGTCGAGGAGCTTGCCTCGTCTAGGAGCTTGCCAGGTCCAGGAGCTTGCCTGGTCCAAGAGCTTGCCTGGTCCAAGAGCTTGCGTGGTCCAGGAGCTTGCCTGGTCCAGGAGCTTGCCTGGTCTAGGAGCTTGCCTGGTCTAGGAGCTTGCCAGGTCTAAGAGCGTGCCTGGTCCAGGAGCTTGCCTGGTCCAGGAGCTTGCCTGGTCCATGAGCTTGCCTGGTCCAGAAGCTTGCGTGGTCCAATAGCTTGCTTGGTCCAGAAGCCTGCCTGGTCCAAAAGCTTGCCTGGTCCAGTAGCGTGCCTGGTCCAATAGCTTGCGTTATCCAGGACCTTGTGTGGCCGAGGAGCTTGCCTCGTCTAGGAGCTTGCCAGGTCCGGGAGCTTGCCTGGTCCAAGATCTTGCCTCGTCTAAGAGCTTGCGTGGTCCAGGAGCTTGCCTGGTCCAGAAGCTTGCCTCGTTCAGGAGCTTGCCTGGTCTAGGAGCTTGCATGGTCCAGGAGCGTGCGTGGTCCAGGAGCTTGCCTGGTCCATGAGCTATCCTGGTCCAAGAGCTTGCCTGGTCCAGGAGCTTGCCTGGTCCAGGAGCTTGCCTGTTCCACGAGCGTTCCTGGTCCTGGAGCTTGCCTTGTCCTGGAGCTTTCTTGGTCTGTTAGCTTGCCTGGTCCAGGAGTTTGCCTGGTCCAGGAACCTTCTTGGTGCAAGAGCTTGCCTGGTCCAGGAGCTTGCCTGGTCCAAGAGCTTGCGTGGTCCAGGAGCTTGCCTTGTCCAGGAGCTTTCTTGGTCCGTGAGCTTGCCTGGTCCAGGAGCTTGCCTGGTCCAGGAGCTTGCTAGGGCCTAGCATTCGCAAAATAGCAAGAACAAGGGCCTAGCGTGTGCAAAATTGCAAGAACAAGGGTCTAGCGTGTACAAAATTGCAAGAACAAGGGCCTAGTGTGTGCAAAATAAAAAGAACAAGAGCATAGCGTGTACAAAATAGCAACAACAAGGGCCTAGCGTGTGCAAAATAAAAAGAACAAGGGCCTAGCGTGTGCAAAATAAAAAGAACAAGGGCCTA